CTATACACAAAAAATATGAAATGTCTACATGAAAATATCTTCCTATGACTATTATTAATTAGAACATTGATAGCCCAAAAACCCGTTTATTATTCTTAAAACCCTAATAACCTATGTCTAGCTCACGTTAATATTGAATAACATACGTCTAACTTACATTATAAATTGAATTCGTTTACATTCAATTTACATTTAGAACCTTTTTTCCATTATTCTCTCATCAACAAATAAGGTTTTTTTTTTAATGTTTTTTTCTATGCTGATGATATTATAGATTTAAATAATTCTAAATATTCATAAGGCATTCTAGTGAAGGTAGAAATCAATTTTTTTATATTAAAATAATATTTTATAAAGTTATATGCACATTGTATCATGATTCACGTACTTATTTAGCAATACTATTATCATCTGGTCAAATTTATGTCGCGACCTTCTCCATATATTTTTCTGTTTGATTTTATACAATTAATTTTTCTTATTTTTTGAAGGCGAATTTTATGCAATTAATTAATTGGCATTCTAATATATTATATAATACTTTAAGAAAATATAAGAAAATGATAGAATATCAATGTAAATATTTTTATAATTTACGTAAAATTAGAAATGTTTACTCTAACTACCCAAATTCAATATTACATCTAACAAAAAATAATATTCATCTAAAAACTATTCGAATAAAAGAAACCAAAATCAAACCATACAATATTATCTATAGTAGATATTTTTATTTTAGATATTGTTATTCACAAATGGAATAATTCACACGGGTTTAACCAAATGAATATTTAACACAATTATACATAATATGTCGTGTTTTGTTGTGTCAAATTTTTATGTTATAAAAACTTTTAAACACAAAGTAATAATAGTTTGGTACAAGATAGACACTACACCATCAATAGAAATAAAAAAGATTTTAGAAAAAATAAAATTTTACTTGGTTATTACGATATAAAATTGGATCAAAAGACCAATTCAGTTATTTTTTGTTAATTGAATCTTAAATAAAGTTTGACACACAAAAAAAAATTGTAAATGAATTTATATTATTAAAACTACAATTAGTGCTAGCAAACGGAAAAATATATTATTTTATACAAAAAACAGAATTGGAATCTAAATTAAACATCATTAGCATTTTTTAACCAGAAAATAATGTTCTTCTAATTTATTTAATTTTTAATAAATATTTACCGCGCATAACTTGGAGAGTCACCTAGAACACGCACTTAGACCCTTGAATGAGAAGTGAGTTGCACATATTACACTTGAATGAGAAGGATCAAAGGACACTTAGACCCTAAAGATAATTATGTTAATAATCTTCCATATTTTTTTCAATTCATCCTCCAATTAATGATCCTGCAAAGCAAACACATCAAACCAATCAGAAATTTGACTTCGTATTCTTCTCCAAAACCCAAAAGAAAAATATGAGTAGAGGACATACCACACTCTTCTCTAGATCCTCCAACGTCGCCACTGCCTTTGTTAGTTCCTCCTTACTCCATAAAACGGCCAACGTATGGTAGAAAATAGCGGTATCGGGACACAAACCATTAGAAATCATCTCCTGCAAAATGTCTAGGGCGCCATTAAGATTACCCACTTGACAAAACCCATGAACCAAAGTGTAGTAAGTAACTCTATCAGCAACTATGCCTCTCGATACATCTCGCATGCAAGGTCCATCCCGTCGTAGACCTTTCCAGCCTTACAATAGCCATTGATGAGTGCATTAAAAGTCACTGTGTTGGGAGAGCAGCCCTTGGTAGCCAACGAATCAAACACTTGTTTGGCCTCATCTAGGGGATTCTGCTTGCAGAATCCATCGATCATTGAAGTAGAGGTGATAGTATCGGGGACTATACTCCTACGGAGCATCTCTGCATATAATTCTCCAGCCGCTACAAATTTCCCTACTTTGAGTAATCCATTGATCAGTATAGTGTAAATTTGAGCATCAGGCTGCAAACCACTGAGGGGGAGATTAGTGAATAAATGCCAGGCTTCATCCACCTTAGTAGCCTTACACATTCCATGGATGATGATGTTACAAACAGCAACATTTAGATCCATATTAATCTTCAGCATGACCTTAAACATTTCCAACGCCTTCTCTGGTTTCCCATTATCGCAGAGACCCCGCAGCAAAATGCCACAAGTTACGATATTAGGGCTCACACCATGAGAAATCATCTTTTTGTAAAGGTCTTGGGCACCATTAAGATCACCCATTTGACAGAACCCATGACTAAGAATGTTGTAAGAAATTGTATTAGGAACTAATCCTCTTCTTGACATCTCACAGAAAAGTTCCACTCCAACATCTAGCCTCTTAGCCCTACAGCATCCGTCTATAAGAGTATTGAAAGTGAACACCTCCGGATAGTAGCCCTTGCTAGCCATTGAATCAAACATGCGCTTCGCATCATCTAGACGATCATGCTTACAAAACCCACCAATCATTGAATTATATATGATTGTATCAGGAAATATACCCGTATCGAGTATTTCCTCGTATAACTTTTCAACCTCGAAGAACTTGCCTTCTTTAACAAATGCATAGATCAATGCATTGAAAGTTACAACATTAGGGTTGATTCCCCTTCCGATCATTTCAAGAAACAGTCTCTCGGCATCACTCCATTTACCACAGCTACAAAAACCATCTATCATAAAGTTGTAGGTAAATACATCTGGAAAAAAGTCCTTTCTCGTTCATTTCGTCGAAAAGATTTGAGTATCGTTATGACATCCATCTTTGCAAAGACGATCAATGATGGCACTAAAGATTACAACATTGGCTTTGATGCCGCTTTCCTCCATCTTCCTAAGAAGATTCAAGGCCGACGCAGTGTCCCCCATCTTACACAATCCGTTTACAATTGTTCCGTAAGTAACAACGTCAGGATGATGACCATTTTGTACCATCTGATCAAGCAGAGCTACTGCTTCGAGAACTCGACCCTCACGGCAAAGACCATTCATCAGTGTGTTGAACGTTACGACATTTGGTGTGCATCCCGTTTTAGCCATTAGATCAAACAAATCTAATGCTTCAGAAATCCTATCTTCGACACATAAACCGTGAAGGAATGAGTTAAGCGTCACAACGTCGGGCTGGAAACCAAGTTTTGTGATCTTCCCAAATGTAGACAGAGCAAAGGGAAGCTTAGAGCAAGTGCAGAAACATTTTATCAGAATAGAGAAGCTGTAGATATTACATGGAATTCTGCGCAATTCCATCTTCCGATAGAGAGAAATCACAAGATCTGGTCGGTTCATTCTCACGACCACACCAATTAGCTTATTGAAATCGATTGCGGAAGGGAGGGGACGAGATCGAACCATATCATCGAAGAAAGCAATCGCATCATCTAAGCCACTTCTCAATTTCAATTCCTGACGAAGAAGGTTGACTTTTCCTGGCGAGAAGATGATGAATCGACCTTACATGTTACATGATAAAGGTGAATTAGAGTTGGTTCAATTACATTATCGACTTTGGTTAAGTTTTTTAACCGGTTTATCGGTTTAGTACAATCACAAATAGTATTTGTAGGCTTTACGCCAATCTGAAAATGAATCAATCAAAACAAAAACAATTATCTTCTTCATCTCTTAAATCTCTGTTCATCATCATCATCACTCCACCATTGAATCTTTGATCTCGAGTTGGTCTTTCTGGTTATACGATCAACTTCTAGACATTGGTTTGCCTTACCTTCGAATCCTCGGTGGGTTTCTAGGTTCGGATTTATCCTTCGGTTACTCCTCCTGCAACATTACACTGATCGATTCCGATCTCAAAACCCTAGCCAACATTTTAATTTCGCCTGATTTCGTTTTTCTTTTCGATCTCTCAACTCTAACAAGAGCAGCTAACAAGTGGTCAAGTGTGAAGTCTGTGGAGCCCTAGATACGGCAAACGATAGAAGCCGCAAGAGAATCAGAAAACCCCGTCGTTTTCCATTTTGGGTTTGGTTTCAGACTGAAACGACGTCGTCTCCAAGTTTGACTCTTACACTATCTA